CGAACAGGTATGAAATTATTGACTCTGTTGTTTTGTTTTGAGTTCTTCCTCTCCAAAGTGCTGAAATGTGTTTTGAAATTACTCAGTTGCATTAGTGGTTGGATTTGAGGCTTTTAACGTGTTTTTTGTCAGTACCTCTGGGAAAAGGATAACCAAGACTTTTAAACGTACTGTGCATTTTGCATCACTATATGATTGTAAATACTGTGATGAAATATTGAAACAATCATGAAAGATGATGACCATTAAGCTTTTCTTTTAACTATTAAAACTCGGTAAAGGTTATATTGAGCCGTGGTTTATGAAATTGTTTAGACTAACACCTTCCTTGATAATTGTTTCTGAAGTGGAGAAAAATGTTTTAGGATAGCATAGTTCATGAATTTTTTTTTTAGTTTTGGTGATTGCTATGAATTACTATAAAGAATGTTTTATTATGGAGAAAATTTGTTGGCTTTGATTAATACCAGGATTATAAAAAAATTGAAAAAATATTCTCATTGGCTTCAGATTCTTTTTATATAGGTTATTTTTACGCATTTGTGTATCTGGTATTTGGTATTTTATTAAATGGTAATTAGTAATTAGTACTATGTTATAGAGAAATGAAAACATAATGATATCTCTGAAGTTTGTGATAATTTTTAAAATAACCAAAAATGTAAGATTTGTATTTTCATTTTATTCCTCATTTTAGCTAGTTTTTAAAAATTAATGAAAACATTTCAGGTTATTATGTAATAATTACTGAAGGTTAACAGATATGAGTTTATAGATGATCCTTGAGAACACCAGAAGTATAATGTATTACTGGTAATAAATTTGAGTTTCTGAGCCTTTATAAAACACAGAACTTCTTCAATTACACATGTACCTTCATGTCTTGTTTTTAATTGAAAATAAATATTTCATGTGATATAACAAGATAAGTTTAGATTATAAATGTTTAGTGTGATTATGTTTTGATAGTTATACTAACTTGAACTAGTTTTCTATCTAACCTCAATAATGCTACTTAAAATCTTTGTGAAATCTAAATGGCACAATTTCTGATTTGACAATGTAAGTAAAAGTTTCTGTATATAATGAAAATAAAATCTAAGTGATGTTTACCTTTTACCTGTATATTTAATATGTGATCTTTCTGCTGTTACCTATTTCATCCATGTGGAATTTTGAGTTTTGTCTGGATTATGCAATAAAAATCCCTTCCCATTGCAGTTTCAGATCAGACCAAATGGATTTGAGAAAAATAGTACTAATAAATACTTTTTTATTATTAATTTTTAAAAGATATTACTTTTTAGAGCAGTTTTAGGTTCACAGCAAAATTGAGCAAAAGGTAGAAATTTCCTATATTCCCCTTTCCCCTACACATGCATAGCCTTCTCTCTTGTCAACATTCTCCACCAGACTGGTGTGTGTGTTATAATCAGTGAACCTACACTGGCACATCATTATCACCCGAAGTCCATAGTTTACATTAGGGTCCACTCTGGTGTTGTGTGTTCTGTGGGTTTAGACAAATGTATAATAATATGTCTTCATCATTATAGCTTCATGCAGAGTAGTTTTACTGACCGAAAAATCCTTTGTATGCCTCCACTTCCTCCCTCCATTCTCACTAACCCTAAAACACTCATCTTTTTAACTTTCTCCATAGTTTTGCCTTTTCCAAAATGTTATATAGTAGGAGTCATACAGTATGTAACCTTTTCATATTAGTTTCTTTCTCTTAGTAATATACTTTTACATTTTCTCCATGTCTTTTCATGGCTTGATAGCTCATTTTTTTTTTTAAGAACTGAATAATATTCTGTTGTCTGGTTGTACCTCAGTTTATCCATTCACCTTATGAAGGACATTTTGGAAGCTTCTACTTTTGGCATCTGTGAATAGAGCTGCTCTAAATCTCCATGTACAAATTTCTATGTGGTTATAAGTTTTCAGCTCCCTTTGGTAAATACCAAAGAGTGAAATTGCTGGATCTTATGGTAAGAGTAGGTTTAGTTTTGTTGGGAACCACCAAACTATGTTCCAATGAGGCTGTATCATTTTGCATTTCCACCAGCAATGAAGGAGGTTTCATTTATTCTCCTACCACCTCCTTGCATTAGGTGATGTAAGTGTACTGGATTTTGGCCATTCTAATAGGTGTTTAGTAGTATCTAGTTTGAATTTGCCTTTCCCCAGTGATATGTGGAGAATCTTGGCTTATTTGCCATTTGCATATCTTCTTTGGTGAGGTGTCAAAGTCTTTGTCCCTTTGTTTAATGTGATTGTTTGTCTTTGTTGAATTTTAAGAATTCTTTGTATATTATGCACAACAGTTCTTTATCTGATGTCTTTTACAAATAATGTTATCCCAGTCTGTGACTTGTTATTACAGATACGTAGGAAAGTGGTTGACTTTGTAAATTAACCTTGTATATTGCAACCTTGCTGTTTATTGCTTATTCCAGTATTTTTTTTTGTAGATTATTTAAGATTGTCTATATAGATCATCATGTCATCAGCAAAGACGGCTTTATTTTTTCTTTTTCAATTTTTATCCTTTTCTTGTCTTAACTGCATTAGCTAGGACTTCCAGTATGATGTTGGAAGATAGTGGTGAGAGGGGACATTCCTGCCTTTTTCCTGACAATGGATACTTTAAAAAGTGAAATGACTAATCTAAAGATTTATATGTGGAATTTTAGTTTCTCTGTAATTACTGACTTCTTTTTTTCTAGTAAGAAAGGCAATTTTCTTTATTTTTTCCTTTAAGTTTCTGCTTTGAAGTTTTCTGTAAATTAAATGATCTAAATGAAAACTCACTCAACTTGAGGTCTTACTTTCCTTTCTATTCTTGTATTATTTTAAATTTCTAGTTGGGTTGCCGAGAATGTTATGTTAGGTATAAAAGCCGAGGAGTGAACATATGCTTGTATTGTTTGGCTGTGGCATCTCTTGAGGTATCACAATTCTTGCTAATCACTTGCTGCCCATCCACAAAGTTCCCAGTTATGTTCACTTCATCTTCTTAAATTCTAAGCTGCTTCTGCATCCTTCTGTGATAATTTTTTGAAACTTTTTAGGGCATCAGATAGTTTGAGGTCCATCTATCTTGAAATTTGTCTCTGTTCTGTTCTTGTGCATTACTAGGTTTAGGGTAACTCTTTGAGTCGTATTATCTCTCTGTGCTGCACTTGGGAAGTGAGATGTGGGACCCTCTGTACCAAAATTTTTAAAAAAATTGAGATTTCTGTTTATTTTAATCATTTTCCTACCTTTTGAAAAGAGAGGAAGATATGGCACATGCCTTTCTCTCAGGAATATTATCTTTTGTGGAAGTTGCTTGCTTCCCTTTGGACTACCTGGTTTCATTTCATTTTGATGGAAAGAAAATGGTTTTAAATTAGATTCATATTTCTGTTTTATATTGGTTGGGTTTACCTCATTGGGAAAAAATTAGTATCTCTATTTTATAGTTTCAGTAAAATATGAATTCAGTATGAATTTTGAGAGATAATTTATTGTATAATTACGTCATGAGCTTCTAAGTGTTAGTAAATTTTAGAATAATAAATTGTTGTACCCAGAATAAACTTTTAAAAGGGAATATCTAAGACCTGCAGATGTAGTGTGATCTGCCTAAGGATATATTCTGTTAGTATCAGAATGAGAACATGGATTTTATGACTCTGTTTCTTGTTCATTCCTCAAGAATACATTACTTTTTCTTTGCTGGTTCTAGCCAGTGACTGTTCTCCAATGTCTTACTGATTTTCTATTTAATTTTTATTCTACGGTATATGTTCTGTTAGTACAATTATACTAACACTATTCATGGAATGTAATCCTTTGCCAAAATCATGACGTGATTGTTTTAGTCTCAAGAACCACCTTGGTTTTTTTTTCAAAACACAAAAGAAGGCAGTACAAAAGTGGACATAGGAAAGATAAAATAGAAGAGAAAGGATGAGACTAGAAAAGAATTTGGAGTGGAACAGAATGGTCATTAGGGTGAAATTGCATGGAATTTGAAAGCCTTAGAGTTATTACATTCAGAAAATATGAATCTGGCATGTTAAGAAATATAAATATTATGTATGTGTTTTCAGCTCTTTAAAAACAAATCTCTGTGTGTGTGTTTATATGTGTGTGTGTGTGTGTGTGTGTGTTTACCATATACACTCAAGTGCATTCACCAGTGTTTTTCAAATCTAGATATGTTTTAATTCATGTAGGCCTTTCCTTATTGTATTAATGCTTATTGTATTAATGCTTATATATATTTGTTTGTGTGTGTGTATATATATATATATATATATATATATATATATAGTTATAAGGATTAAAGTATTCATTTGTACATCCTCTTGATTCCTGGGTTTTTTAATAGATAGCTTTTTAGTGGATAAAATTTAATGGATAAATTTCAAATAGATCAAGTGTATATTTAATGCATTTATACTAGATATTACTAATTAATGGGACAATGAATTATAGTTTTCTAACTCAAAACTGGTTTAGCCCAATTCACTGATCTTTCTAATCTCATTTTCAATTGCTAGTCATCAACTTTTATGGTAAACTATGCTGCTTTCTTAGGGTTATTGAACTACTTAATTCTCTCTTCTCTTCATTTTGGATGATACACCTTAAAAAAAAAATTGAGAAACAAAAACAAAGCCAAAATCAAAACATCTATTTGTCCTTGGTTTTCTTTGTCACCTTCTTTCCCAACTTTCAACTATTTCAGTTAAATTAATATATAGTGTTATAGAACGAAAGGGCAAGATAAATATAGATAGGCTCATTTAATTTACACAGAATCATACTGTTGCTAACTTGCTTAGTATCAGTATACCATTCTGTATCACCTATTAATATGGCTAACAGAACTTTAAGAGTTAAGGTATGAAATTGACATGGGTGACATTTTTCATTATTGTTCTTTTAAAAGAAAGAACCTACTGAGTGACATTTCTTCAGCTATTTTTGTTTTTTTATTTTAGGAGTGGCAAAATTCTATTCAGAAGAATGCAGGCCTTGCTTTCATCGAACTTGTCAATGAAGGAAGGTAATCTATTTTATTTTAATCCATTTTGTATTTTTCTTTAAAATCTTGTGTTTTTTCTGTAGGTACTGATATTTTTGGTCTCCGTATTTACTGTTTGTTCAGTCAGTAATGTAGTGGAGCTCTGATATATCAGTTATGTATATGTTAATATTTAATCATTCTGTAATTTTTTTTAAGATACATGCTTACTGATACAGTTCTGATTTTTATTTTTCAATAAGTTTGGGAAAAGTAAACTGATAAATCTATTTGCAGGTATAAGGAAAAACCATACTTATTTGGACTTCCTATAAAGTTCTTTTATGTGTATAGAACCATTAATTAGAATTAGATGTGTATATTATTTTTTTTATATCACAGGCTGACCATAAGAGGAGGGGGGACAAGTTTTACAATGTGATGTGGTAAGAAAGGTGATAGAGGAAATAAGTAGGTATGTTTTTCATTTAAAGAGCAGAAACAGAATTCAAGCAAAGAAAATTTAGTGGCGGGTAAGAGAAGGGAAGAAAGTGCAGAGGTGAAAAGAGAGATAAAAGGGAGAAAACAAATGTAAAAGAGTGAAAGAATTAAAAGGTACAAGGAAATTGAGGAAATGATTAGTGGACCACTTTTCGTCTGATTTGTAGTAGCTGATTTTGCATTAATGAAACTGAAGACCCGGAGTATAGTTAAAAAGCTGTGACTGACTCCCCTTGCAGACAGTATTCTGAACAAACTTATTGTTTCAGCAGTGTTTGTTTAGTGATTTGGGCAATGTTGTTGGAAGATTGATCTTATCAGTCCTTTGGTAACTATTTGAACTTGCATCTAGGAATCCAGGTTTGCTCTCTATCTCTCATAAATATTCTAGAAAAGGGAGAAAAGAGTATTTGTAACTTTATTTGATCTTAAATACTACTACTAAAACCCTTTCCCTCAGAAATAATTACAGGTGCTCCCTGCAATTATAATACTTAATGTTAAATTCTGTGATAGAAATATGTAAGTACAAGGTGCTAAGAAAGCACTAAGGGGGGTACTAAGGTACTATGGAGTACTAAGAAAAAGAGAGAGTCCTCAACTGAGTATGGAAGAATCAGGTAAAACTTAACCAGGAAACAATGATTCTTGAGATGCATTTCAAGGGTCAGTATGATTTGTCATATAAACATTAGTAATTTGGAGGTTATGGAAAAATTGGAGGATGTTTGTATGAAAATCATTCCAAACCCAGGGAACAGAATATCTGAAGGCATTGTAATGTGGGCAGATATATAGGATGTGTGTGTGTGTGTGTGTGTGTGTGTGTGTGTGTGTGTTGGAGAGGTGTTGTTGGGATTGGGCATCTAGATCTCTCAAGGGAGTGGGAACCCTTGGAAAATTTTAAACAAAAGAGAGTCATTATGATATTTGGGGCTTGGAAAGATAACTAGCAGAAGTTTTTAGGATAGGTTAAAGAAGGGAAGTCCTGATTGAAATGAAGAACAATTGCAAGGTTACTACAGTGATCTGTATGAAACATAGAGCTAAGTTTCCATGTAGAGTATGGCAAGTAGTAGGTGATCAATAAAAACTGATATAGATTTATAGCCATAAGAACTAATTCATAGGGCAGTGAATGACTTAATGACTAATTCTTTACTCTTCCTTTCAGTAAACATTTCAAAGTTTATTGAAAAATAGCTTTTGGCTGATTTCAACACTGAGGTATTGGTTTTGAAGTTTATATATAGATATGATTCATGATATATATATATATGTATATATATCATTCAATATATGATATTGAAGTTTATATATAGAAAAAGAGGTGACTAGAGCTGTTGATTAAATGCACAAATATTCTACTTAATGCAAAACACCCATAAACAGACTTTCTATAATTTTTAGGATTTATTGAAGTATAATTCCTGGCTTTGTTTTAAAGAAAAATTTATATGAAGTGATTTTGATTATTGTAGACTCTACTAAGTATAACTACTCTTATGTATGTTACTGTTACGTTTAATAGGTGAGGCAACATAGACTTATGATTAAGAGCATTGGCTTTGAAGATAGCCCTAGGTTCATATTTCAGCTTTGATACTTGACAAGTACTTTTACTTTTTGAGCTTCAATTCCTCATCTATTTATTATACACTGACTATGTCCCAGGAATTGTTCTGGGTACTGAGGATACAGCAAGAAACAAAATAGATAAAGATTCTTTTTTTGAGGGTTGTATATTCAAATAGGCATTGACAGATTATGAACAATAAAATAAGTAGGTTATATAATATGTGAATAATATATTGTTCAGTACTATGGGAAAAGAAAATGTGGAGCAGGTGAGGGGAATGAAATTTTTGAAGTAAGGGAAAAATGTATTGGTATGGTTTGCAGTTTAAATAGAGTGGTAGGATTAGGGCTCATTGAGAAAGTAACACTGGAGCAAGCACTTGAAGCACACAGGAGTCAGTTATAGGGGCATATATATAAAAACATTCCAGGCCTCAGGAATAGCCAGTGTACAAGTGTCAGTTTCCCTGGTATATTTGAGGAATGAGGCCAATATAGAAAGAAAAGAGTGATTAAAGTAGAATGAAATAGGAAGTAAGGTCGGAGAGATAACATAGGGCAAGATTTTGTTTAGAAGCTTTGTAATTTATTTTGTGGGAGATGACAGCCATTGCACGATTTTGAGAAGAGGAAGGCATCTCCCTTACAGCTTAAAAAGATCTCTCTTGGACAGGTGCAGTAGCTCACACCTGTAATTATAGCACTTTAGGAAGCTGAAGTGGATGACTTACTTGAGCCCAGGAGTTCAAAACCAGCCTGGCAACATGGTGAAACCCTGTCTACAAAAAATGCAATTAGCTTGGTATGGTGACAGGTGCCTGTAGTACCAGCTACTCAGAGAGCTGTGAGGTGGGAGGATTGCCTGAGTCTAGGAGGACGAGGCTGCAATGACCTGTGGTCGTGCTACTACTATGTAGCCTGGGAGATAGAGCAAGATCCTGTCTGGAGGTAAAAATTACTATGACTGATGCATGTGGGAAGTTAAGGATAGAAGTGAAGAGATCAGCCAGATGTGGTAGGTTGTGTTTTTAATTCCAGCACTTTGAGAGGCTGAGGTGGGAGGATCATTTGAGCCCAAGGGTTTGAGACCAGCCTGTGCAACATAGTGAGACCCTGTCTCTATAGAAAATAAAAAGAATTAGTTGGGTGCGGTGGCATGCACCTGTGGTCCCAGCTACATGGGAGGCTGAGGCAGGAGGATCACTTGAGCCCAGGAGGTCAAGGCTGCAGTGAATCATGTTCACACCACTTCACTCCATCATTGGCAGTAGAGTGAGACCCTGTCTCAAAAAAAAAAAAAAAGTAAATAAAGACAAAGAGATCAGTTGGGGGCTATCGTAGTAATTGTGGTTAAACATGATGGTGACTGGGACAAGGTTGCTAGCAGTAGAGGAGGTAAGAAATGGCAGGATTATGGACTAATTTTGAAGATAAGACCTGACAGGTTATCCTAATGGCTTGGATGTGGGTCTTGAGAGAAAGCCAGGCATCACTCTTAAAATTTTTGGCCTTGTAGGTAGAGATACCAAATGCCTTTGTTTTGCGTTGTCATTGAAAGATCTTTATATAGCAGACAGCTGTGGAATATAGAAATAGTGTCTCTATTTGGAACAAAGCAGAATTGTTTACTGTCTAGTATAATAATGATAATGTCTATCTCTGAGCCAAAGACCAACAGACCTACTGGCCATCATAAAAGATTGAAGTGCCCTAAGCTCAGAGTTCCTCTCTTGTAAAACACTTTACTACATGTACAGGTGTCTCCTGGACCTATGTAACTCTGTAGGAACTGAGACTTGGAGGTACTGGCACAAATGCTAATACTCTGGCATTGCTATTGCTGAAAATTTGATGAAACAATTGTTTGAATAATTTACTTATTTCTGTATCATCTGTTACCGTTTTCATAGTACCTGCTCTCTGATTTCTTACATTTGCTTTTCTTCTTCTGTTTAGATATTTTAGCCTCCCATAGTTAGAAACTGCCTTCTTTACTTCAGTTCTTAGCCTATAGAGAACACTCAGCCTTATTTCTTTTAAGTAAGTGTTTGAAATAAACAGTGATGGAAACTAAGATTCGTTAGTGAAATAGTGCAGGTAAAATTGGAAATTTTCGTTCGCTATTTACATACAGTGTAGAATATATTTTAAAGGAAAATTTTAGTGGGTTATTTTTCTAAATCAGTGGATTTGGTTTTCCTTTTATAAATAATTAGTGCTTGAGGTTAAATGAGTTTTCATAGAAATATATGTGTTTTTGAAATAGTTTGGCGTGTTTGACTACTAGACTTAATCCCAGGGGCAGGAAGAATAATAATAAGGATTTTTCTTTTTACTGCAAAGACTAACCTTTTTTTCTTCTTATTAGGTAAGTCTGACCTGCCTTGACCTCATTTATAGAGTAGCTGCTATAAATTTTGCCCTTGATTAATGTTTTATTAGTGTAAATAACATGAAGACCTTTATAGACAGACTACAGCATAAGGTCTAACAAACTTGAAGAGTATCATTAGCAAATCAATTACTAAGTTCAGACATAAGTAACTGTTGTTTGGTAGAAACTGCTGATGTTGTTCTAGGCAGCTGCTCTGTGAGATGTTACTCTGTGAATTTGTAATGATTTGCTGATGGTCTCTTTAACTTACATTTGTTTAATAAGATATTTTATAAATGCATGTTTTGGTAGTTTTGAGTTAAGTAGGTATTTTTTAGGTAAACAACATTTCATTTTAAACAAATTTATATAGCTAGAATAATTGATAATCACGGACATAATCAAATGTTACAACCTTTGATGACTTCTAAGAGAAAAAGATACATATAATAAAATATTTCAGTTAAAAAATTAAATTTTCACATATTATTAGCAAGAATATTGTTATTCCTGAATGATAATTTTGTTTATGACCATTTTATGATGTGTTGAATCATTATTATCACCACCTCCGTTTGCTTTTTAAATA